GATCAACAAGACTCCTACTGACCTCTTGACATATAATATTCTTTGTCAAGGAACATCCCTCGACAAACAAATATTCAATAGTTAGTGTGGATTCTAATCAAGAAACACTTCATATAATTTGTCTTTGTTGGTCCTTGTTTTAACCAAAACATCACAACTACCAATTTCAAATGTGCTAGAGCAAGAAAAATTTCTACTCCATATTTCATCAGTTGATATAAACCTACTTAGAACATGTTACTCAAGGTACAACTTGGAGTAACTAGAGTATAACTTTAAAACTTGATTTTGGAACAAAGTATGACTCATCTCCTTGATTTAACCATTTCAACAATACATGATTCCTCTTCTTAGTCTTATAAATGCATTAAGGTGTTCTTAGAGTATCACTTTTGGCATGGTTCCTTAATCATTAGGATGATCATAAAACATGATACTAAAGAACTCTCATTTCCTTTCAGATTGGAGAAACTTTTATCTTTTTGCCCAATGGATTCTTATTATTCGTTCTGCTATACCTTGAAACTTTTCCAGGTATCAAAATTATACTTAATCTCATAAGCATAACCATATTTATTGAACCAACAGTAAATCATGACGAATAGACTTTTATCATCCTTTGTTGTGGATCTGACCAATTCACGTCATTGTTTACTAGATCCTTTAGTCCTTCACTTGACTCATATATACATGTGAACAAGGAATTAGTCTCAATTTACCAAAGATCAAGATTCTCATACATCACACAATTCAAATCGCATGAATCCAACTTTCTGTCTAATTGAAACTTGGATGATGAGAATCCTTCCTCACTTGGTAAATTATGACACTACCACAAGCAATATAACTAAGAATCAAATCCATTGTCAATATTGCTAATAATAGAAATATAAACACCAATTTTCATAAATACCATTGCAACTAATAATAAAGCAAATAAGATAAAACCAAAATTTACTTTATTAATAATGTGCATAAAACTTATCCTTACAATGCAAGTACATATCAAAACTATGTTTCTAGATATTCCTAAGCAATCTATCAATCTATCATGATATCTAAGTAGTAGCTCAAAAATATGATCATCGAACCATGCGACTTAAATCCATCTCTCACGATCAGATTCAACTTACTCTTTTCTAAGCTTCCTTCTTTCTCTTAGATCCTGCAAAAACATAAAGATGTGATTACCATATCATGTATTAAGAATCTACAAATAGGAACTTAATGGAGTTTGACGGTGGATGTACCTGAAATAGAGTTATACAATTTGACTTTACCATCTCTAAGATCTCTCAGGTAGTCTGTGCAGCTTCGCTTCCAGTGCCCCTTCAATTGGCAATAGAGACAGATGGACTCTTCAGGAGTGACACATGAAACTATCTCAAAATTTGCCTTTCTCTTACGGTTAAACTTTTTGACCTTGGCCGATTTCTCTCCCTTTTGAGGGGAAACCATTTCTGGACTATCAGCGTTGTCATCACCATCGTCCATGGAACTTTGGGAAACTGATCCTCCAAACACATTTTCTTGACCAGTGCGCCAAATCATTGTTGCTTCAGCAGTAATTAACAAATATGTCAGATCAGTTAGGGTCACGTCGTTATCAATCATATAGTAGTCCTTAATAAACGGACTATATGAATCAGGAAGCGAGTGAAGAACCAAGTCAACAGTCAGCTCCTTTGGGAAAACGACACCCAACATTCCCAATCTGTCAATGTGCAACTTCATCTTGAGGACGTGTGCACACACAAAGTTTCCATCTAGGTGTTTGCATGCCAACATGGCTTGAGTAATCTTGAACTTTTCAATCTGACGAAAATGTGGGTTGGGGAGAATCACTTGAGGAGGTGGAGGAAGAGAAGTATGATTTCCAGTTCCACCATTGCACGAAGAAGGGGAATTTCGTTCACCTTGATCAACATGTGGAAAAATATCTTTAAAAGGAAGGCTTTTTCCAAAGGATTGTGGAAGACCATAGTTGTCTGAACTTGACATCTATAAAGGGAGAAAATTCAAGTTAGTTAATTTAAATACTTAATATAACACCCAAAAGAAATATTAAGGCTAGGACCCAACACAATAATTCATGATTCAAAAGAAGGATGTCGTAATCCAGTTCTAAATTATTTGAAGGTAGGTAAATAACGATTTACAATTCCACCACAAAAAACAAAATTTTAACAAATTAGGTTTTAGATGAAATTCCTAGATATTTTGAGATTCATTGAACTATTCAATGGCATGTTTAATCTCGATTATGCTCTCACTTTGTGACTGGGATGCCGAGGATCACAAATGAGATGTGAATAACCATGCAAAGCTAGCTTGGCACTCTCGATGTCATTTATCATCTAATTAGTGTGTCGGTTAACTACACACGCTACATTGACTCAACGATAATTTACGAGACACCCACTAGCAACAATATTGGTCCCAAATTAGTGTTTCGGTTAACCACACACGCTCGACTAACGACCAATAAGGTGCAATGTGCAATTTCATGGGTTAGCATCAAATTCACATTTTTCCTAAAGTAACTAAGATTGAGAATTTTATAAAAGCATTTAGTTACTTTACAATTCATTACACTTTTAATGAGGGTTTAGTGTCCTATCCTACATGTTCGGCTAACGACCCTCCACTAATCAAGAGTACGGTAGGTAAGAACAGATACCCAATATACCCAATGACAGTCATTTTATAGGTCGCTTCCTTAAACACTCCTTATATACAAGCTTCGTAAATGAGGCCTACTAACGGTAAGACTGACTTTTCTTATACATATATAAATAATTAAAATTTTAATTTTATATAGTATAAGGGTGCATTTTAAACTTTTAAAATACTAAGGTTTAATCTTTTAATAAATTAAACTTTTAATTTAATTAAATTTAAACCATACATGGATTTATTAATTGCATTTTAATTAATTTTATTAATTAAATTATTAATAAAATCCACAAAGATATCTTCTAGGGTTTTCCATTTAAATTTCCAAAATTAAACTTTTAATTTCAAATTTAAATTATAAAACCAAAATGATGTATTTTAAAAACTTTTCAAAATACCGTGTTGAATTTTAATTAGGAAAATAATCTTATCATTATCCAAATTTAACCAAATCCTTTAATTATGATAAGGACATCAGATTACCTTTCAGAAAATTTAGTTTTAGGCATTAAAAACGAATTAAGGCAATTATCCTAAACAAATAATGATATCGAATTCAAAAAATCAAGGATCTGACGACTGACGAGCCAACTCGTCGAGTAACACCAAATCGTCAAGTTTATTATTTAACTCGTCGAGTTCCTGGATCAGACAACAAAAACCAATTTGCTTATGCTTTGGACAGTTCACTATTGCATCAATTCAATTTAAAAACATCTTAGGCTCTTATACCACTAATGGGTTTTGAACATAACAACAGATCTATGTGATCATGCAACCCTAATTGCTTTGAATCTAAGTTTTTTACTAATTAAATATGTAAATTAAACACCAAAGAAATAACCCTAGAAACTAGCATACAATTTCGAAATTCATGTATAAATTAGGGTTAAAAGATTACCTTACTTGTTATGTAGTAATAACAAGAATAAGCTTTGAAGATCCGTGACTCTTGAAAGCTTAGTGCCCCAAATGTTGCACCTCTAATGCTTCACAAACACCCATTGCAAGAGGATGAGAGGAGAGAGGTAGAGATTCACTTAGAAATTCGGCTAGGGCTCTTCCAAGGGTTGGTATGGCCGAAAATCCAAGAGAAACACTCCTTATATACTTGTGGCTAATAGGGTTTTCAGGTGGAAACCCTAATTTCTTGATTAGGGCTTAAGTAGTCCATGGACTCCTTATTATGAGGCCTTGGACGAAATATCATAGGCCTCCTATAATTTTCTTCCTCTCCATCATAAGGAGTCTGATAGCCCACTTTCACAACTATTAATGATTTGCAACCCAAAAGGATCATGCTACTATCAAATTAAGTACATACCAATTATAGTTATGGGTTTAAACACCTAATCCAACAATGTATGTGTGTGTGTGTGTGTGAAAATGATAAACCGCACCACCATCTGGATGATCCAAATCATTTCCATCTTAATACCTATCACATAAGGAATAAATCGCCAAGTAGTAGGAATATTTTGGATATACCATAGTTTGAACCCTAAACTTGTTTTATGAAATTTTACACCTTAACCATTAGAGTTACTTTGTGATGGTCGTGTGTATGTGTATGTATATCTTTCATAAAATGGCATGTCACAAATATTTTATGTTGGAAACCAATTAATATATATATTAAAGATATGAAGTTAGGAATAGTAAGTTGGGCATTTTTTTGGCACAAATGGTCCCTGCACTTTGCTTCTCATTCTTTACCTATTTTGACATTTTTTGTCCTTGCAATCAATATTTTTACACTTTTTAGGAATCTTTTAATATTTAAAGTTTGGCCACAAAACTTTAACGGTTTGACAACTTTGATCCCTTTTCTAAAAATTTGTTAATTCCTACCCTTTTAGTTCTTTAACCGTTTTGAAATTTCTGATCCTTGCAGTCAAAACTTTTATATTTTTTCATAAAAACATGAAAAAAAATGTCCAGGGAAAACTCCGGGCTTTTCATCCTTGCACTTTCTACGTCTGTCATATTTATCGATTCGGAAACAATATTGAAAGCTTCTGGCCCCTGCGTAGCAGGGGTAACCTTTCTAGTTGATAATTAACGAAGAAATCTTTTTGTCGGTAAAAGTTGCAAATCTATCACAAAATATTTCAAAAATTAACCACACGTTTTTTGTCAAAAGATTTTTTGTCGAACTTTTGTTAGTAAAAGCCATCCCAACAAATTTCACTGGCATAAATGATCATGTTTTGTAGTAGTGTAATATAGTAGTTTTTTCATAACACTTTTTCAGAGTTGAAAAATAAATGTTGATAATTTGACATGTTATTAAAGTCATTTTACTTACCACATCTATAGAAAATCACACATATCATATCTTCATCATCATAAATATATATAAAAAAACAATAGAGATAACATATGTATACTTGTATCCTACATGTCATTAAACTTTAACACACAAATATATTTTACAACATTCAAACTGTTAGTAAAAAAAGAAAAAAGAACCCACACATGTAGTAGAATACACAAACGACAACCTCATTAAGCCAACGTGACTTTTGTTCATAGCTTAAAACACTCTAGTGCCCTTTCTGCATCACAATTGTTACCCGTGAACATACTAAAAAACTCTTTGTATGTGTAACCTCGATACAATGGTGTCAAGGAACTTTCCTTGAGCACACTATCCGCAGGCCGTATTAAAATGTCACTTGAAGGAGTCAGGAATGTCCCGATGGTGGTTCGTGACTCCTTTGAATTCGTCACCACTCGGTGCACCGCACTTGCTAGCTTCTCATTGCTTATAACCTATTCAATTTTATCCCCTTTTGTCAGTTTTAGTCCAAAACATCAAATAATATGCAAATTTAGTCTAAAACTTACCCGTAACTGGAGCCCTGGAATCACAACGAAAGCATTAGGGAGAGGCTCAATCCCGATCCATCGACCATCTTTAAGAGCTTGAAGCCCAGAAATATTACCTTGTTGAAGCATGCTAATAAGATTAGGGTCACAATGTTCGGGCATTCCGAGTGTTAAACTTGGATTTGGACAAGGAATATGATGGTTCACCGATATCAATTGGATCTTGCTCAATTCGCCTCCAAAATACCCCATTTCGAGCCCCATTCCTTCACAAATTAGCTCCAACATTGTTAATAAAAACTTCCTCGCTTCAATCGAGTACTTCCCAATAATATTCCTATGCATTCCATTAAATATATGTTAGAGCCTCCCTCTTTCCATATGGAAAATAAACAAAACACTCCACATATATCTTACATAAAGTAATCATTAGGTTTTAATGTTTGGATCAAGATTTTGTTACCGATAACCGGAAGGGTATTCAGGCCAATGGGTTATATGATCTTCAAGAGGATGACACCGGTGAGTTAAATTGTCTCGCCAATAATGAACCGTTTCATTTTTATAGTTTAACGTGCTCGTGTACAACCTACAACTTGAGTTTAAATCGTTTGAATAGAATCTCGATTTAAATTCCGCAGGAGACGCAAAGAAATCTTGAAAAATTCTCATTGTTTGATACATTAAGTCCCTCGAAACTCCATGATTGATCACCTTTATTGTATAAAACGATCAATGTAATAAGTTCTTAAATCACTACAAGAAACATGACATTAAGTGACTCACAACTTACGACCATTACTTACCTGAAAAAGTCCAAAATCTTGACTTGCTTTTATAATATGTTGAACGATCTCATATCGTTCAGGGCCATAAATCTTTTCTAGATCGATGATCGGAATGTCTTTGGATGCCGGAATATTATTGGTTCCAGGCCTTCGTTCAGGTGGGAAAACATAGCTTTCCGGTAAAGATTGAATGTTGGACCAGTTCGAAGTGAGAACATCCATACTTGAGAATGCATGCATTGGTAGACACGTTATTCATACTTATTTATATTTGAGATATTGTAAACTTAAACATCGTGCCATAATTTTGTATCAATTTTTAATTTTGTTGTTATTGAAAGTTGTGGTCCTATGAGAAATTAGAAATGGACCACAATAAATCATATCAATGTATAATAAGATTTGTGTTGCAATCTAACATTAAATTAATGGTCGCGATAACGATTAGAAATTGCCTTCAGTTCATCAACTAATAATTGTACTTGTAAAAATTATTTTTCTAGATGATAATTGTACGAAATTCAAGTTATTGTAAAGTTTGCGTTCTTCAAAGAAGTCCAAGCTTTGGTGTGTGGTAGGACACTTGCATTTTTATTATTATTAATATCTATATATTAATATGAATAGTGACTATTACGAGGGGAAAATCCAATGAACAATTGACTGAATTTTTTTTTTTTTTTTTTTGTTATACACGGTTCCCCTACATAAATGGTCCCTGCATTTTGTTGAGCATATCACTTTTGGTTCTTATGTGTGTTTTGCTATTATGCACCTCTATTTATTTATTTTTTATCTTATATTTTTGCCACAAGTTAAAGAAAATCCCTGCATTTTGCTAACTTATTAGAAAAATCATCCACTTCTGATTTTTTTTTTTTTTTTTTTTTTTTTTTTTTTTTTTGTTGTTGTTGTTTTAAATGGACCGATTTTTGGGTTTTCTTTTAGGAAAAAAAACATTATGGGCGAACCCATGATCACCTACTAGTTATTATTAAGTTCTTAGAACGTAGAGAGTTATAATTTTTTTGTTAGCTAATGAAGCTAAAACGCATTTAACATAATTGTTTCTTCTTTTAAAACTAATGGTTAGATTTGAATATGATATATTATTATTTATAAATATAAATAATTATCTTTGTTTAGCTAAAATAAGATTGCAATGACCTATTTTAAACAGTAGGCACGTTTAACGAGATGTGTTTTTGGAAGTTTGCAAAAAGCCGTTTAACCAACACTAACACCGAGCTCTTTCCTGGCTTCTCAAAATTTTATTTTAACACCAAAAAAAATATCTTCACCATAAACAATTACAATGGAAATATTCATTTTTTTTTATCTAATTATAGGGATCAACCTTTTCTTTTATGAATCAACGATTAACCAAAATGTTGATAGGGATAGAAACCTGCATAATTAAGTAGAAATGATATTTAACTATTTGTAAATATACTTACCCAGTCACACTCCTACCAGCCATGTTTGAATATAAGGTAGCTCAAAAAAGAAGAAAAAAGAATATGTAACTACTTGTTGATGAAGAAACAAGAACATGAACCTAATTGGCAACATTGTCATGCTAAAGTTAGGATATGTTGTTGATTCGTGGGACCCACACCCACGAAACCATTCCTATACATCTTAGGTCGATCCATGGCTGCCATGTTAGGACAGAAGCTCGAGAGTCGAGACTTTAATTTGTACCATACAATATGGCTATGGAACAGGGTAGAAAGAGTTGTACACTTATGGCATCCAAGTGAAGTGACATGTTAGCTTACTAAATCTTGTCATTATGGAAGACTGTTATTGGCTGTGATGAATGAATTCCATGTCAACTCAGCATATCAGAAGCTTGACCAGTTTTACTGGGTCAGGACTTGGGCTTCTGTGATTCTGATTTATCACATGCTTCATATAATGGATGTGTTTTTTAACGAATGGAAAGAGGTTTTGTACCAATGGCTATCTTCAAAACAAAATTTTGAACAAGTGACAATTGGTATTTGGGTTGGAAGAATCTTATACCACCTGAGATTTGATCAAATGAGCATGTGAGATATCTAGCTCTACTGAAATATGTGTTAGTCATATTGCTCTAGTGATAGATTTGATGATTACATCAGAATAGAAACTAACTGGCATGTTTGTAACATGGGTGACTAACTAAGTTGTTCAAGGTTTTTCTCCCAAATAACAAGCCCTAACAACTAACAATACATAACTAATTTTTAACTACTAACAAGTAACAATTAACAATAAACTGGAAATAACTAATCATACATGTATCATCAGGAATGTATTGTAGAAAGTATAGATAAATATTTTTCCTTTTAATATGTATTTTTATGTTTATATATATATATATATATATATATATATATATATATATTATATATATATATATATATATATATATATATATATATATATATATATATATATATATATATATATATATATATAAACAGGTTTTTTATTGATATATTTCTAAATAAATAAAAAATATGAATTTATACTTTTAAAAGACAATAATATTTCTAAAAAAATGTATTTCTACTTCTAAAAAACATTAAAATACGTATTTTTCTTGTAAAATAAATTATCTATATTTCAAAATATGTAAAATAAGTATTTATGCTTTCCTACACTTGTATTGACTAAAAGAATGAACTTTCAAAGAACTAGCCCACAATTCACCTGATTTTTTAACACTCAAAACATTGTTTTTCCAAATCACCAGCTTTGCTTTTAGGATTATAGACCGGATAATTTATACAATAGAGTTTTAAGTGACTTCTCATTGAACTGAGAATTTATACAAGAAAGTTTTAAGTGACTTTCCATTGAATTGTACCATTCTTCTTGGAATTTACACACATTATCTTTGAATAATATGGGCATTTCACTTTGTTCAATTCCTTGTTTATGCTTTCTTTATCAAAATGATTCCATAACCAAGAACCTTTTTAACAACCACCCTTATTTTCACTAACTTCTTCATCTTCTTCAACATTAACAAATGGAGGATCTAGATTAAATTGTTTACGTCTCCTTTCAGCTTCATCAACTGATTTTTGAGATCCTTACATTAAACACAAATCATAATTTCAAGCTCAATTAAACACATTAAAATATAAACATAGATAATAGATTCAAACTTAATTAAACGCATTCAATTGATTCAACTCAAAATTAAGCTTTAAAATGATTCAACATTGTTTAAATCTGAAGGGAACCAGAAAGCAAACTAAAAGCAGAATGCAAATGAGACATTCATCACATTGAAAAGATATATCACAATGCAATGCAAACTCAAAACAAAAAGCAAATAGAAGGAAACACACAAGCTGAATAAATTGTAACACCTCGTTTATTAAATAAATAAATAAACAAATTAATGAATGTATAATAGCCTAAAATCAATAATTATATAGCAAGGTGTTGATTTCGAGGAGTTATCTAGCATAGTTTAGAAGTTGGGGTTAATAGTGTAAGTTTCGGGTTGGCTTTGTAAGTATTTATGAAGGCAGGGGTGTAATTGGCAAATATTGTACCTAAATTGCAATGGATTTTAATGTCGAGGGTTGTTTAGTAATTTATGGGTTGATATTGAAAAGGATTTCAGGAATCAGGGTATATTTGGTAAATTATGGACTTAGTATGAAAAGATTTCTGAGGGCAAGGTCTGTGTGGTAAGTTTTGGATTTAACTTGAAAAGTTTTGGTGGAGGAGGGGCCGAACTCGTAAACATGGAAAAAAGTTTGATTGGTTACGGGACTATAAACCTGTCATCTCCCCCTAATCCTAACCATAATGTGCACAACCGACACTCAAGTTCACCAACCTCATCACCCGGTTTTCTCTCATGTATTCCGAACAGATGGAGCTCCAACGACCGTCGCCTGCTGCCTTGCCATCGAGATGCCGTCACACCTTGCTGTCGGATGCCATGCACGAACGAAGAAACCACCGAGAGCGACTTCAGGGCAGCGTAATAACGTTCTCAGATGCTCATTTTCCTCTTTCTTCTCCTGCTCCGCCTTCAGCCAACGCTGCCAACGTCACTGCTAACCGTGGTTGTTGCCACTAGTATCGTTACATCGACGCCATCGTTGCTACTGCCGTAAGAGCCGATGTTGTCGTTGTTGGTGTTGCTGCTGCTATCACCGTGCACCATCGGGGGTGGTTGCGTCCGAAATATGAGCAAAGACTTGGCGGGGTGTGTTGTTGCTTGACGGGGGCCATCCCAAAACCATTGCTGACGCTACCAAGGGCCACCTGGTGGGTGGCTAGAGTGTATATTGTCACATGAAGTGTATGTGTATGTGTTTTGTTGGCTAGAAAATGGAGAAGAAAACCACTATGGCCGCCAACCATGGTGGTTGCCACCAGGTGCCATCGTCGGCCACCACAAAGGTGGTTGTGTGTGTGTGTGTGTTTAGCATTATTGTGTGTGTTATTTTGGATATTAGCAATGTGAAATGTAATTAGAAATGTGAATAATGAAAAGAAACTCTAACCACCACCGTGAGGTGGTGGTTGCCACCACCATCCGCCGTGTCGGGTGGCAGTGTGCCTTGTTTGTATTGTGACTCGTTTGGGATGTTTGGGCAAAGGGAATAAAACCCTAATTGGCCTAATAAACCCTAATGGACCCAATGAAGCCCTAACTGATTTAAAATCCCAAACATGTGACTAATGGGCCTAATGAACCTTAACTAATCAAAAGACCTAGCTATTGGGCTTATTGGGCTAAGAAGGGGTCGGAAACCCTAATTAGGGTTTAGAAACCCTAATATTGGATTTATAGGCCTTGGACTTATCGGGACCCACTTTTAGGCCATTGGAATGAGATTGTAAATTACACGTAATCACCATATGACTTATCTAGTAGAGTGATGGACTTAATGGGTTAAGTGAGAAACACTTAACCCTAATCGTCATTTCATGTGGAAACCTTAATTTCACTTGGGCCTTAAGTTGGGCCTTTCTATTGGGCTTTGGTGATTGGACTATTAATGGGCTTTCCAAGAATAATTAAATTGACTAAATAATTGTATGGGTTTTAGGATAAGGCCCATATGAGAGCCTTGGGCCCAATTTGGAAAATTAGGCCATAGATAGGCCATAATTAGGCCTTTATGATTATGTGATATTGGGCCATGGGAATACCAAGAGTTTGGACTGAAATAATTGAATGGGCCTTAAGGAAAGACCATGTAGAGGTCTGGGCCCAATTTGGAAAACTGGGCCATATGTTGGGCTTTGGCCCATTACATTACTTTTGGGT